CCATTATTGGGAATACAAATCTGGGGTACCTAATATTCAAACCACGAAAATAAATTGAACCATGTAGTATAATCCAACAAACTATAGAAATGTAGAGAGAAACCTGAAAAAGAGAGGAACACTAATGGGTCAAATTATGACTCACAAGGATTTTTCTGTGAGTAAAAGAAAAATACAATATGTTTGTTCACAACATTTTTGTTTTACATTATTATTATTGAGACAATGTATTATATACAAAAAAGTACCCCAGCAATAACTTGTATTGGGAATAAGGAACATACTGTATACAGGCAAATACAGGCCTTAACATTTTTGCTCCTCCCCCAAATATTAATTTACCTGAGAAGATATATACTTGTAAATATGTGTCTTTCTTGTGGACTCAGGCAGCTGTGATCTTACACGCTGTTCACAAGTATGCAGCCAAACACTGCCAAATATTCGGTGTTTATGCATCTACAGTACCTGCGCCTCTCACCTCTCACAAGTATACTTTACTACACACTGCTTCTGCTCAAAACCATCCGCCGTTCTCTGGTCTATAGCGGGCCAATTCAACAATATTGTGGAAACAGATCTCTGTCAATGTGGGCATCTCTGAGATTTCTCACTAATTCCCAATGGGTATTTGAGTTGTTCCTTGCTGATGCAGGAGGGTCTAAGGATAGTGGAGATTATGTAGACATTTATGGGCATTTATGAACATTGGTGTTCTGCCCCATTTGGATCACTGGCTCCAACGGGTTGTCTAATTATTGCATTTTTGTAGTTTGAGCTGTTTGATTCTCTGAACTGTGTTAGCATTTCCTCCTAGATGTGCTTCAGGACTATAAAAATAAATAAAAATAAACTATTAATTGTATAGGATACAAGCTGTGGACAACTCCAAGTAATCAAACCATGACCAAACCATGACCAAACCAAATCCACACTGGTGCATATTGTACCTGTCCACAAAATATATCTAGGAGTCGTCAATGGCAAAGTTATTTTCCTCCCCTCACATTTGGTTCCATTAAAGCTTGCTTGAGCTTGCAATGGACTTGTAATAGTAGATTATGAATAGAACAATGATGGCGGTGATGATGGACCCTTAATGACAATCTCCCTCTCAGAGCTCACACTGTGCATCTCCTCTGTTTCACCGTAATCACTGCGTTTTGTTCGAGTCCACGAAAAACAATGAGCTCTGATTAGTGACGCGCACACATCAGCTCAGTGTGTGTGTGTGTGTGTGTGTGTGTACAGTAACACACACACACACTTAGCCTCGCAGTGAGAGTTAAAGTTATATGATGCAGGATTTCAGGTCTGTGGATGTTCTTATGGTCAGCACTCATGGGTTACATCAAGTTACCTCAAGTAGCATACAGTATATAAACGTTTCTTCTTGTCATGGCTTTATTACGTTTTGGCTTGGGCTAAAGTTATCCATTTCAATGGACACTCCCAGTTCTATTAGCCACGTTATTGTGCTTTACCGTTGCACCACCTCATATATATGTTTATTATCATATTCTTGGAATGGACGATTCATATTTGTTCCTAACAATCAGCTACCTAAAATGTATGTTTACCTTGTTCTAAGATCTCATCAAGCACCTAATAGTTTTACATTGGTTCCGCACCCCAACATTACATCAGGGTTTAGTGATTGTGCTTTCACGCAGGACCTGTGGCGCGCAACAAGATGTCATGTTCAATTAAATCATTGCACACGTCTAAGGCTTTATTATTAGGCCTATTAGGGATGGGTAATTTCTCCGTATTGATTCAATTCAAATTTCACGTCAATGTATTTCAAATACAACCCTAAATCACAGCAGCAGTCGTCTTGCAGGACTTTATAAGTTGCTGATTCACCAACAACAGATCCGAGAATAAAACAGTTGGAACTCAGGGTTTGGCCAATTCCCATAATTGTTAATACATGTGCATGTATAAATGTCCCGTATCACCAATGTGACTCTTCTATAAATTGATTTTGGGATTGGCTGATATTGGCTACAATTAAAACATTGTTCTCATTCTATGATTTAAAGCAACAGCATGCGCAGCTTTCTGTGAGCACATTTTCAGTATGATAGAAATATTCAATATGTCTCTTTTTCGGCTTGTATGTTATGTAGGTTGCTTTTTAACCAGTTACTAATGCCTTCATTGCTATCAATTCATTACTATTATATAATAGTAATATATTTGTTAAGGCCAGGTTTTGTGTCAGTCAATCAACATTTGTGTATAAATCGAGTACATAAGTATACACAAGCATACAAAAACATATAGGAGATAAGACTATTTGCATCTAAAAGTATTAGGTACAACATATGTGACTACACAGGTATATTAGATAAGATATAAAAGCAGTGACATGCTTGTGATAGAAGTGGATAATTACTTATTCATTTAAATTCAAACTGTGCCAAAAAAACTAGTTTTTCTTTTTTTCAGACAATTAAAAAGGCTCAATCCATATCGTCAAAGAGTTTGTTGGACTCTTTAATGCAACTTAATTAATTTGAGATAGAACATTATACGTATGGGGGAAGTCAAACGACTGGTTTGTTTGATATGTTTTGGTGTTGGAAACACGTTCTAACTAAAGAGGCTGTTCTATCTAACGAAAAGAAAACTCATCACATGTTTCAACAGACAAACAGACCAACAATGGTAAGATGAGTATAATTCATATGCCTTCCTACTTTTCTGAAGACAGTATGTTTTTCTTTTTTGGCACTCACAGTACTTTCCAACTATCAATAAAGTGTTGTGGCCACTAATTCTCAAACAATCCCCATGGAAGAACTGTTGTTCGATGTGCGTGTTTTGTGTACCATCAAGTACAAACCTTTGCTGTGTCCTCTTGTGCAAGTACTTCAGATTGAAACTCTTTGCAACACAACAGTAATGAATTTAAAAGAAGAATATCCACTTGTACTTGGATTAGAACAACAGCGGTGCTCATAATATAATAGATTATTTGTACATAAAGTGTGAAAGCCTTCAGTTGGACAGATCATTGCAAAAGCAGTCATGCATCCACACTTGTTCTGCATAGCAAACAAACTAAACTATATAAGAGCTGGTATTTTTTTTTCCCTTTCAAAGTTTCAAAAGTTATCTGTCATTCTTACATATTACCTTAATTCAGATGCAGTCAAGACGCCAATGGTTTGACAACTAGCATGTATCCATTATTGGCAAACAAAGTCTATCCACTGATCTATAGTTCTTCTTCAAACTATTCATAAGTGGTAATTAATCCTTTCTAATTATGTTTGCTTATGCAGTAGCATGGTCAGGGTTGCACCAACGATTGAAAGATCGGATTGAGATGGACATTAGTTATGGACTAAATTATTTTTTCCACCATAATGTCCAAATGAAGCACATTCATTTGTAAATAAGAAGGTTATTCTCTTTATTTGTTTTTCTCATTTTGTCTCTCACACCTATGATGACAAAGAGGACTTGGTGGCTGACTACATAGGTATTTAATTTTGTTTTAATATAATATATAAAAAATGTAATCAGAACTCAAGATTGATCAGGGATTGAACGGGATCATTCAGAAGTCTGGTGGTCAATTGTGAACATTGAAATATTGCAAAAGATTTATGAATGAGGAGCACAGGGACTGGACTCCTGTTAGTGTCCAGAGTCAGAACTAAACATGGGGAGGCTGCTTTTCAGATTCATGCTGCTAAAATCTGGAACAGTCTTCCTGAAGATGTGAGACAGGCCTCTTCTCTGACCATGTTTAAAACCAGGTTACATGCATGCTGTGCATACAACTGAGGGATTTTATATTTGTATCTTCCTTTTTAAGGTTCTGTGATTATTTATGATTTTAATGCTTTCTTGTTTTGTTCAGCACTTTGAGTTGCCTTGTGTATGAATTGTGCTATACAAATAAACTTGCCTTGCCTTGCCTTGGATGTTTAGTAACACTTTGAAGCAACTATGGCTAAAGATGAACTCATCATTAGGCCAATATGCAAAAGCCAGTGATTTTCTGAAGGCCAAAGCTACTAGCGCTGTGGCATGATCAGATTGGACTGTTTTTGGTTTCCTCCATACTTTAGTACTTTTGCCACTTTTAATTGTACATAATATATCCTGAATAGACTATATTTTCTGCCTTTAAAATGTATGCACACTTCTGTCTTTCGCATAAATCTGGATGATTCTATCCATGCCAAATATGACATGTAAATTTTTCCTGCGTGAGATCAATAAAGTCGATCTTATCTGTAATATCACATGTATGCTGTAAAATCCTTTTCTTAAAATTCTCTGATTGGTAATTGCCAAAGTAAATTTTAAAACAAATCTACACTTGGCTCTTGTTGTAGCATAAGGTGTTACAGGGGGAAAGCATATATTATTCCTTCATTCTAAAACATAAAATAAAAAAATAATTTGCCTTTTTAGAGGTTTTACTGGGCAAATATAATGCATAATATTTCTTCTTTAAGTCTTAAATATGCATCAAATGATTTCCAACACCAACCATGTCATACTATCACTTTCCTCCCTGTCAAAAAAGGCGGGCGACGAAATGTCCAGTTGGATGATTTGACTCTTTCTTTAAGGGTCCCTCTTTGCGGCAGCTTTCAGTAACACCGCGCCTCTCGCCAAGAACAAGCCGACAAAGGATCACTGAGCCACGTTCACCAGCACAAAGCTGCGAAAGAAAAAAAAAAAAAAAACTCAAAAGAGGAGACATTTAAAAACACGTGATGATCCGTGAAAGTTCGGGGGACTTGGGCCGCTGTCAAAACAAGCCGAAAGGTTGACTGGCGCTTCTATACAGGGCAGACAGAGGAAGCGATCTTGTCAGAAATGAGTTTGTTTACAGGGGGGTGGAGGGGGGGGGGGTGGTCTGGTGTGTCCAAAACCTGGCATCCTGTTCGGTAGCGAGGTGTTAACCAAGTGAGAATCGCGGCATTCGATAGGACGATTGGCTCTCCTCCACCCTCTCCTCCCATGCACCGATGCCACCCTCTTCTCTTCTTCATCTGATGTGTCAAAACGAAAGATATATTGAAGAAAGAGGGGGGGGGGGGGGACATGGCTTTGCAAGGGTCACCAGGGAGAACTGTGCCACTGCGAAGGAACAGATGCAGCCTTCATTTGTATATCCAGAAACTCGTGTGCCTCCTGGGTGTGGAGAAGCCGTGTGAGGAGTATTTCCATTTGTTTGTGTGAATGTAGGTCAGTTCAGGTACGCGCTCTGCCACAACGCTGTTTAAGGCAAGCCGTCATGATCTACTCTTTCACTACCGCTGACCTGGATGTGGTTTTGAAATGGGGTGTTGGAGCCAAATTTAGAAGTTACTGACTGTTCGTTTTCAGTGCGAGATGTGCAATGGGTGGGAAAAAGTTGTGAAAGAAGAAGAAATGTCCAATGTATGTCACATCATAACATTGCAGACTTTAAGACGGAGGGTAGAGTGTTAAATGGCTTCACACTAACACTAGAAATGGGTGGTCTTAACACTCATAAACTTCAAAATATGACAACAAAAAGTCTATTTGTTTGTAGATTTGCGGAACCCTTGTATGGCTTATACCTGTATGAATATTTGACCCATCCACAGATACAAACTGGCACTTGTTCTGACCTTTCATCCTTGATAAACCAAAGTTTTCATACCTTGAATTGTGTTGACTTTACTCTGATGTTAAAACCATATAATATGTGCAGTTGAACAGCGCGCCTCACATGATAAGACAAGAATAGAAGTGAATAACTCAATGGTCTTGCAACTGAAAACAAATGTCAAGGCAAGGCATGTTTAGTGTATAGCACAGTTCATACACAGGACCACTCAAAGTGCTTAACAAAACAAGATCAGAAACTTTTAAAATCATACAAGGCATCAAAATGATGTATAGTCACAGTACAATAGGTGAAGATACAATTCAGTTGCATGCACAGCTTAACACAACAATTCTTAACCTGGATTTGAACATTGTCAGTAGTAGAAGTTGAAGCCTGTCTCACATTTTCCGAAAGACTGTTCCAGATTTTAGCTGAATAAAGCTGAAACACTGCCTCCTCATTTTTATTCCTGACTCTTGGCACCAGCAGGAGGCCAGTCCCTGTGCTCCTCAGAGTCCACGTTGATACATAGCACTTTGTCATGGATGTACTTCGGTGCGAGGCCATGGGGACACACAAGACACGTGTACTAAAGCAGAGCTGCTTTAAAGTTTATTCTCTGAGCCACAGGACGAGCATGCAGACGATGGAATTTATAATAACTACCATGGCTTTAAGTTAGCATATAATTCAATCAAGGTCAAAGTGCACATACTGTCTATTATATATATACAGTACCTACCAAGGTGTCCACCGAGTGCTCTGGTTTGCGCCTACAGGGATAGATAAAGTGCAAATTCATTCATTTGTTTTCTAAAAAGTCTGTTTATGTTGCATGGGACAAACAAAATGTATTATTAACCTCTTAAGCCCGATTGAATCCAAAAAAGTTACTTAATCCGCCACCACTGTAAATATTTAGTATTATTCTATGTAATCTCAGGCTACAAAATAGAACACTAGGATTAATTTACAAATGTCCCATAAGATTTCACTAAGTTGACTTCTAATGGCCTTTGAGGGACACGTTGACCATTGTCCTTTCACTCTCGGGTCTCCGCAGCTTCTCACTCCCTCCACTCAGCTCCTGTCACTGGACACCGGCCTTCACCAAGGGCACTGTGGCAATGGGATCCACGGCCAGCTCCCCTCGTGCCCCCCGACACCCCCCGTCCCGCGGCCCGGAGCCCAGACGAGTGTTCGGGCAGAGAGATCGATGCGAGAGGCTGCGATATGCCATTACAGGTGAGGCCAGCCCCTGTGCCATCCTAGCCTGCCCATTCAGCAATATGTGCACAGATTGGGGAGGAGGTAACACAAGACGGGTCATTTATTCATTCAAGTGTTTTGGAAGTCCTGGGAGGGTTTGGGGGATCGTTAGGGCATCCAGCCTTGGTCTACCACACCCAGGCTTGACATTGTCTGTGGCTTGGTCAAATGAAATAGCATATCAAACTCGATAATGCCAAAAACCTCCTTACTCTGCACTTTTGCTTTTATCAGCAGTATCTCTGTGTAATGCAGTGGAAAACTAATCTTTCCTGGTATTAGTGATTGTAGTAATATTATGTACTATGGATTTTTATCCCCAGAAAAAACAAACCATAGAATAATGTGTGTTTTGTCACATGACTGTTCTTCACATGGTGTTACATTCATTCATAGTACAACTATGTTTTAAATGTGTTTTACAGAAGCACCTTGTAACAGGATATTACAGGAAAAAAAAGTGCATAAAAGCTTTTCTATGCAAGGGTGTCTTTGGCTTCTTCTTAAAACTTCAGAAAGGGGCTTTGTTTTATCATTAAATTTAGTTTTTGAAGGAGAGGCAAGGCAAGTTTATTTATATAGCACAATTCATACACAAGGCAATTCAAAGTGCTGAACAAAATAAGAAAGCATTAAAATCATAAATAATCACAGAACATTAAAAAGAAAGAAAATATAAAATCCCTCAGTTGTATGCACAGCTAAACAGAACTGTCTTTAACCTGGTTTTAAACATTGTTATTGAGGAGGCCTGTCTCACATCTTCAGGAAGACTGTTCCAGATTTTAGCAGCATGAATCTGAAAAGCAGCCTCCCCATGTTTAGTTCTGACTCTGGGCACTAACAGGAGTCCAGTCCCTGTGCTCCTCAGAGTCCGGGCTGGTTCATATGGGACTAACATGTCACTAATATATTTTGGTGCGAGGCCATGGAGAGACTTGTACACAAGCAGAGCTGTTTTAAAGTCTATTCTCTGAGCCACAGGAAGCCAGTGCAGAGACCTGAGAACTGGACTAATGTGGTCGTACTTCCTGGTTCTAGTCAGGACTCGAGCTGCTGCATTTTGAATGTACTGCAGCTGTTTTACAGCCTGTTTGGACAGACCTGTGAGCAGGCCATTGCAGTAGTCTAACCTACTGGAGACAAATGCATGGATAAGAATCTCCAAGTCTGCCCTGGACACTATGTTTTTGATCCTGGCAATGTTTTTTAGATGGTAAAAAGCTGCTGATGTTACTGATTTGATGTGGCTATTAAAATTTAAGTCTGAGTCCAGTATTACCCCTAGATTTCTGACCTGGTTTGAAGGTTTTAGCGAGAGAGACTGGAGGTGACAGATGACGCTCTCTCTTTGTTTCTGGGGACCAAAGACAATCATTTCAGTTTTGTCTGCGTTTAGCTGAAGGAAGTTATTTTGTTTTGTGAGATCCTCCCTACTCCTATTAAAAGGCCCTGTCTGCAAAACAAAGAAAGGTCCCAGAGGAGCAAGGTCAGATTAGGTCCAAAAGTTAAGGAAGGCCTCTTTTTCAGCAGCTTTTAAAAACTCAAAAACTAAGGGTGTACAGTACAGCCTATTCTATGTATTAATGATAGTGATGATAGACATGTGATCATCACAATGATGTATTGTAAGAAGCACAGTTAGCAGCAGCAATAATAAGGCTGTAAGAGGAGGAAGGGGGTAGGTGACAATGAATCAAATATTAATGAATCAAAATCCAACTTTGATTTAGTTGGATTTTGATTCAACCACCCTCCTTACTCTCCATGACCAATAATTCCAAAGTTATGAAGCTGCAACTTTGTCAATATTCTCAATGTGTTTTAAATTATGAAAGCTGATCCAACCTGGTCCTTCACATGCATCTGTGTCTGGCCTCACATCTTTAGATAAGACAGAAAAGAGAGGACAACCCTTGCTCTGCCAATCAGCTCTTATCCCAAAGTAAAGATTTACTCACAGGGCTCTGCAGAAAATAACATGTTTTGTGCCTGTTGTGGTCTGATTTGTTCACAAAATTGTACAAGACTCTTTCTGTTGGGACAAGGGTTAGAACCTTAGCTTGGGACATATTCATAATCTCCTCACTCCTTCAGATTTGAGGCTTCTTCCTTCCAACACAAGAAATGTTGAAGTATTTCACAATCCAGCATTTTGCTAAAAGTGGTCTTTTATCAATAGATTTCTCATTGATTTTGCGCTGAAAGGCATCTCCTGTCAGGTCAAAGTCCTTCTCATTGCCAAGTCCATTTCTCCTCTTCTATTATAACATCTCTGCAGCCTCTCTCCTCTCTTTGCAGTGTTTCCAAAGATCACCCAAACAAGCCGCGGTGCCCGTCAGACGTTGCTGTGTCCTTTCAAGTTTGACTCGAATAATGCCGGTAATGACGGGTGACAGCGGAGTGGGTAGTTACCGGCGTAAAGGCAAATAATAGCTCTTAATGCCAGCGCTAATGGGCAAAAAATAGATCCCCTTTTTATCCAGAAGAAGGAGCGCGGTTAAGAGCCACTTGTGTTAGTCCCTCGGCAGTAAAAGAAGCCGAGACTGCGCGCGGCTAATAGCTACGCGGCGTTGTGGATAAGTGGCGTGGCAAGATACTGTCCGATTTGAGAAGCAGGTTTTTTTTTTTTTTCTGCAAGATGGAGGTTAACTAGGGGCGAGGAGCTTTGAGGCGAAGCTAACAGAGCTGTGACAAGACTTTAAAGACGTTTTTGGAGAAAAAAGTTTATGGAGTGAGACAAGGATCGAAGCAGGTGTCATAGAGAGACATAAGTCTAACTGAATGTATAAAAGCGGAAATTGAGAGAATAGTAATGTATAATTTAGTGGATTTCAGTTGTCCAGTATGTTGAATTGAGGCCGCTTTCGAGGAGATACTATTTAAAACAATAAAAGTGTATAAACTGCAACCCTGGACAGAATGGGCTGGTGTGGTTGCATTTTGTAACTCCAACCAAGCAGGAGCACTCTAGAAAGATTTAAACAACCTGTATGGTAGCACTTTGACACCCCCGCTTAATGGCAATTACCTCACTGTGTGGAATGAGAGGAAAGCATTGTTCTACATGAATACAGAACTCTTACTTACATAAAACTGGAATTCAGATAATTAGACCTTTTTTTCAAAAGTTTTTTTTTTTTCTGAAATTCAACCAAAAATGTTGAACCAATATATGATATAGACTCACATGTAAAGGGACATATGCATAGTCTTTGTTTTTTTCAATAACTGATAATTGGCTCACAGCTTGTAAAAACCTATACTTATGTTTGCCTGATCTAAGCAAAAAAACATTCCAGATTATAAACTATTAGATTTCAGTTCCTTTTGCTCGCACAGAACTGGGAAAAAAGGCTTTTGTGTACTCTGCTCCTTCTACATTGAACATGTTGCAAAAAGACCTGGGACCGTATTCCTGAAGATTCTGAGAGTCCTCTCAGAGAGCTCTTATCTTAACCTAAAAACTCCTAGCTAGGAGTCTTAGCTTAAAAGTTATTCCAGAACACTCTTAGAGAACTCTGAGCAAGGAATTGACAACAACTTTTATCTTAGTGAGGAGGCATGGCCGACCCGTTGCTAGGTATGAGTCATCATTTCAGACGCTGTGATTGGTTGATCCTAAAAGTTAGAAAAAACATATTTTTGATGATAATAGGCAAAATAAGGGCCCTAAAATGGACAAACTCAATCATGGAATCTAATCTTAGGAACACTGTGTTATTGTAAATAATAACCAAAAGCTATAAAGTCAGATATATATCAATACATAAATACATATAATTATAAATCAGAGCTTATCAGCACCTCTATATATAATATACATGATGATAAATATTTATTATTATAAATATTATATGGATAAATGATGATAATGATAACGTTAGGATTAGTAAAGGCTGTGATATTTATAGACTTATAAGGAAGTAAGGAAACAATATTAATATAAACATATTATACATACACTGTACAAATCAAGTACAAGGGAGCTTAAAAGTCTTATCCTCTCCCACTCCTTTTTGAGCTGGATTGTTGTTAATAAAACAAAACTGTATATTTGTACTTCTATTCTGTTGTTGTTTTGTTTGTTTTTGTCCTTTTTTCTTGTTTGCCATGGCTCAAAATAAAGTATTCATTCATTTGTACTGAATGTGTGACAATTTAGGACCACTTTTTCCTCTCTTTCAACTTTTACCATTTCTACTCACTTTCGTGTAACAAAGGTAAAATGGATGAGGTGTTATTGCTGACCAGCCTATAAGAAGCTGGTCACATGATTGACTTTTAAATATACCACAAACATGATTCCTGCTTGAATCTGTAGCGTTTCACTGATTCACTGTCATCCAGTGTATAGAATATTTCTCCTGTCTCCACCGTCCACCATTTTGTGCTCTTAGGGAACTTTTAAGTCGCTAAAAGTCCTCCTCTCAACTCTTAAGGGATCTCCCCTTAAGAGCACTCTTAACAGCTAGGATTCTTTAGGAATAGCTTTTATCTTAACTAGGAGCTACTCCTCACTTTTAGGGGAAATTCTAAGAGTTGGTCAAGATTCTAAGAAAATTCTTAGAATTTGGCCACTAGGAGCAACTTTTAGCAGTAAGAATCTTTAGGAATACGGCCCCTGAACTTAACTGAATGTATTTCATCGAATGCTTTTAAGTCAAGATTGAGAGCATTTGAGACGTACTCGTTGAAAAGTAACTTATTTTATTTTCTGTAATTTTATGAAATTGTGCAACTGTTTTTAGAATCTGTAATTGTATGTAACCTTTTCAGCCTTTTGTCCAGGACTCCCTTGAAAACGAGGTTCTTAATCGTAATGGGACTTTCCTTGTTAAATAAAGTTTAATAAATGAAAAAATACTAAAGAACTGGCATGAAAATACATGAAATTGTCAATGGGTTGTTTTTTTAGGAAAATTCCATCATTTCTGCGTTTGGTCCTATATGCTTCCCACAATCCTTCCCCTCTTACAGACCCCACTGTTTTATCAGCAGTCACAGATGAGCCGGTCCCTCCAGCGTGTCCTTGTGGCCCGGGAGCAGAGGACATGTGGGAGAGGTCAGCTTTCAGGGGCTATAGTGGCTGGAACTTGAACTTGTAACATTCTTTATTCGCAGAGAGGCCCTGGGGGAGGCTCGGATCCAACCCAACCAGCTCCTTTTACTCTTCCTTCCCTTTCAATACGGCGGGATGCTCCTCGGGTGGGACAGGGGGTGAAGGAGGGGGCAGAGTATGGGTCAAACACTGCACTGGACACTGATTTATGAAGCAGCGATAAAGTGGAGTCTGTAGTTTATTTGCTGTAACTAATACAAATTCATTTATTGACCTCATAGTTTATAATTAAAACAAAAAAAATCACTTTTGTACCTATTTACAAAAAAGTTAGGTTTGAAAACTTTAAAGGGAACATTTGTCATTTGCACTCTCATCAGTCTAACAAGGTCATTACAATCATGGTTTGTGATTCTTCCAGAATTCTCCTGTCTGTGACACATTCAGCTCCTAAGCACTGATGACTATTTTTGAATTTTTTTAAGAACCAAGACCGGATACATTTTGCCTAACAAACAATTAATTCTACTCTCTGCTTGGATCTGCTAAACATAAAATGTTTAGCAGATATTATGGATATCATGCATGTTGTATTTTTAATTGAAATAAAAAAAAGATGAAATGTGATTTGTAAATTATTTGTTTTCTGGCATAAATAAAAGTTTAAAAAAATTAATTCTGTACTTTTAAAATCCTTTTTTTTATTTAACAGAATCATGTTTTATACTCCAGGGTTAGGGTTGGGCTTATGCAAAATGTAGTAACCGATCAGTACAATTATCACAGAGATCAAAAACTCACAGGTGGTTACTATAGTTATTATATTAAAATATAGTATTTATTACACTTTTAGCAAGTACATTTGAACGTTGATCACTTGAAAAGACTGTATGTATAAAAAAAAGCACAGACCTTCACCAAGATGCATAGTTCCATTCCTTTAGAAATTTGTTATGTCTCAAACTAACGGACTTAAATAATGAGAAACAGACCCTGGCGATTACATTACCTCTTGGTCGGAGCTCAATTCATCATAATACTTTTCAATACTTTCAGTTGTGCACTTAAATATATCAATCCCCTCACACTATTATTTTAACCAGAAAAAAAAAAAAAAACATGGTCAAAGAAATATTATGCATACTGTAATGCTCAAGATTCAAATTGTGTTCTGACCAAAATCAGAATAAATAGTAATATAACTTCTATTTTTGCACTTCAAACACCATGGACCCCATTATTTCTCCTTTCGGCTTTGACACAATCTGGCCTTAACAATTCCTTCCCTTCATCATCATTTACATGTTGAAATCTGCATTTTTCATATAGAACCCACCTTAGTCTAATTTTAATATCACTGTTATTTCCCATGACACCTTTTGTTTTATTATACATTATGAATTTCTGTCTCTGCCTCCCCCCTCCCTCCTGCCTCCTCCCTCCGACGCTCTAATCCTCGTGCCCACACCGCGCTTATGAGCTGAAATATTTTATCAGGTGGAACCCTCAGTCAAACTTATCATTTTAATCTTATTTCAATAAAAAAATAATCTTTCTTCGCGCCTGTTTGACGGGGGCTAATGGTTTTTTCGTTATCGTAAAGGAAACTTTGAGGAGCGAGATAGACGGCCTACCCAAAAAATGCAAAAAAGTCCCCCCCCCAACACCACCCTGGTTGATTCATAAAGGCGCACGCGGAACAGGTAAAATATGACATGCTAGGACAATAGGCTGCCAAGTAGATTCATGCATGCGCACATTTACATACGGCGCCTGGCCTTTGCGGATCATCAGAGCGACGGTTTGCGGGGGGAAAATAAAACATTATTGTGATGCATTGTTTGTTCTTAAGATTCAAGTAACACACTCCAGACCCATTGTGCGTCTGCGTCCGCGGCGTTATCAAAATGTCATGGTTCTCATTATTTTAAGAGTCGTGATGAGGGCGCTCCTGACAGGAAGCCGCCACGTTACATTATCAGCGCAGAAGAGGGTGTTATGTCTTTGTCTATAGACTCAAACAGGAAGGATAAGGCGGGAAATTGTTGTTTAAGCCGCTGATGGAAAGGAGTTATGTTCAACAAGCTGAACTTTGCCACATGAATAAAAGTTGATGTGATCCCTTTAAGCAAGACAAGGCAATTCTTTACACAACAAGAGAATAGAATGTACAAAATCTTTCAATTGTAAGTTGTATGCATATCTAAACCTAACTATTTTTAACATGGATTTGAACATTACCTGAGTGGAAGCCTGTCCAACATTTTCAGGAAAAAAAATATTTAGCTCCAAAATAAAGATCACTTTCCATGATTAGTCCTGCTTCTGAGTCCCAGCGGGAGGCCAGTCCCTGTGCTCCTCAGAGTCCGAGTTGGTGTATATGGCACAGATTTCACAGATGTATTTTGGTGCGATGGCATGGAGAAACTTTTACAGAAGCAGAGCTGTTTTAAAGTCTCTGACCCACAGGAAGCCAGTACAGAGACCTGAGAACGGGACTAATGTGATCATACTTCCTGGTTCTACTCGAGCTGCAGCGTTTTGAATGTACTCCAGTTGTTTTACAGCTTGTTGTGAGCAGCTGTTACAGTAGTGTAACCTATCTCAGACAAAAGCATGGATTACAATATCAAAGTCTGCTTTATACACTATATTTTTGAGTCTGGAAATGATTTTGGATGGACACATTGTAAAATATTGCCTTTGATTTGGTTCACATGTATGTATTTTTGGCCTCTGGCACATCTCTAGATCAGCTTTCTCAGACAAAAAAGTGAAAAACGAATCGACCACCCTTTACTTTCAACCAAAAACATTAAATCTAGTATGCAGAAGATAACATGTATACTGTACGTTTATCCTATCTTCTGTCAAACTTCTGTATGTCTTGTTGCATTGTGAGTAAGATCTGTCTGGCTTTAACACAGACACAAACTCTGCGATGCATCGTCTACCATCAGAGGTTTGACACTTCTCCCCTCCCTTCCCCTTTTCTTCACAATAAAATTTGAACAGACTGAAAAAAATCCTCTGCATTTTTAATTTAACTTTCATCACCGCACCTTTAGTCTCTTAAGGCAACATCCATCCATCCATCTCGCCTCCTCCCTCTAAACTTATCCAGACACCACTTTTTCTCTCCTCTTTTTTTTTTTGAATATGTGTTTTGTGTTTATTATTAGCTGACTGGGTGCTCCATCATCGCGCGAAAATTCATATCTGCCCAACATAAGGGGAAGCAGTAGCGACGAATCAATCTTTTGTGCATGGGCAGATAAACACAAGACGCAATCAGAGGAGGGGAAAAAGGGAGAGAGAAAGGGGCCCCAACCTCGTCCCGTGATGGATAGCGCGGGTAGAAGTGTCGGGATGGTATTATGTAAATTAAGAAGGCATCCTAGCATGGCCTTGATGATTATAGCGACTTGTGAGTGATGTTCCAAAAGGCGCGGCGTCTTCCCTTGCTTTTGCGATTTCTCATTCGCATACATACAACCTCCGGCGGCTGACCCCCCGGACGCTACCATATTCTCTTTCTCGGCCACCCATCGTCTAAGCTGAACCCCCCCGGGAGACAAGTGGCTATCGCTCCGGAAAAATAAACAGGAAAAACAACAGCGAAGACATGCGTTTCATTTACTTAACAAATTATCTGTCAGGAAGGGTGCCCCCGGTGGCTCTAATGGGCGGTGCGGTGTGGACAGGGATGGACACGGAGTGAAGGAGAAGGGCAGGTCGCAGGGTCGAGGGCGGCGTCACAACATAACAACTCTGTCTGCGCTTGTCCTCTGCGAGCAGGAGTGTGTGTTTAAGCAAGCGGACAGGGAAAGAGGTGGCGTACATGACAGAAAGTGAAAGTAGAAGTTCACTTTGGAAATTCAGGAATTCAGTTTAAAAAAAAAAAAAAACGTATGTATCATTTGCTCAAACTGTAGAATGTTTTTTTTTGGCATCACAGGGAGGGCAGGTTCCAGTTTGTTGTTTAAAATTTAAACCAAAAAAAATACTTTTTATAAAAACTCAACTTACAGCATAAGTGAAAATGACATGTTGTGTTAGAAATCTCAAACAAACAAAATCTTGTATCTATATACCCAGACACAAGTTATAACAGATCAGAGAATTTATGTGGTTTTCTGATCTGTTGTTGGTGAATCGACAACTTTGTTAAGTCTCTTAGACGACTGCTGTTGAGATTTTGGTCTATAAAAAAAAAACTGTATTTTTCATCAAAATTATATATATTTTCTGAACAAAATGTGAATTATTTTATTCGTACAATGCACATTGTGGCAACATTACTTATGTTAACATGATTTTTTAAGCTGGTGAAATCCTGCAGGTTTGGTGCCTAATTTTTATTCAGATTTTTGGGAATGGGAAAGATTTAATGAACCCTTATCTGTCACGAAGCCTTTGGCACTACAATTCACCTGCATAAATGTTTAGCCAGTAACATCCACAGAGCTTTTTCACACACAAAAGTGACTCAGAGTGGATTATTCTCAGCTCAAAGACTTCTTTTGCCACTGTTTTTCTTTTTACAAACATGTGTTTATTTTAAATTGCATTGGAGGCCCCATACTCCGAACTCCGAAACAGACCTTGAGGAATTTCACATACAAAACATTATTTTAAGTTGCACAGCACCAAACATATCAACACCATGGTGCCATCAGTTAAGGTAAAGTCAGGACACTTACTCGTTTGATCCAGGAAAAAACAAAACACTTATAACTATGCTTTTCCCCTTCTCGTGTTGCCCTCGCACCGGAGGCCTGGTCAGCCCCACACCTCTAACAAGGGCTTTGGAGCAGGTGTGAAGTTCTGGGGGCAGTCCCTGTGTGCAGCATGGACATTGAGCTTAATGAACCAAACTTTTAGAATTACAGAAGAAAAGGTTCAATAGACACCAATAAATAACTTCAGCAATCTGAAGTTGAGGTTGGATTAGCTCTGGGCTGCCATTAACATGGCGCCATGGCAATAGATGGTCTGTACTATCTGCTCACACTGGGGTGGTCTTGTATAGTTATTCCAATGTGGTTTTACTGCAAATGGCAAAAAAACTGAATCATATTTGGATCTGATTGGTTCATGAGTTCTTGCCGATACAGGAGGATCTAAGACCAGTGTTGATCTGGGACATTTGAGCACATTTATTGACATTTATTAACATTCAAGGACATGGGGCATGCTGGACCAATGGCTCCTATATGTGTGTTTTTATTGTATTTCCTGTGTCCAAAGTGTTTGATTCACTGATCTGTTTTTGGTGAATACACTGTATTTTGTATTAAAGGATTTTTCAACATGAAATACATTTAAACTTGAGCTGGTGACATTTATTTTAAGTGCAATATATTTTCTTATTCAACATTCGCCATGACACCGACAAATTGTGAGCATATCTTACAATTTTTCATAAGTGACTTTTTGGACAGGCGATGAATTATTTCTGCTGTGGACAGTTCACACTCAGGTTAAACATTTCTATCACTTCAAAACCTTTATGCCAACCATTATATGTCACAAGGAGGCAATATAAATTCCAGTAAAAGTATTGCAACCATACTAAGTCCTGTAAACTACACTTATCCACAGTGAATATAAATATTTGACCTTTCCCTTGCATGTAAAAGTAAGTAGTAGTAAGTAATCTTTATTTATATACCGCCTTTTCACTGCACATCGGAGTCTCAAAGCGATTTACAATTGTTATTTTTGGGAGTGGGGGGGCCAGTACAGGAGGCACATGCCAGACCTATTGTACATATTTTTAGTGGTAGGGGAAACCGGAGCACCCGGAGGAAACCTACGCAGACACGGGGAGAACATGCAAACTCCACTCAGAAAGGCCCTGGTCCAACCGGGATTCGAACCCAGGACCTTCTTGCTGAGAGGCGAGAGTGCTATCCACTCAGCCACCGTGCCGCCGTGAGTAAAAGATCACTCTCAGACCTCCTCACACTTCTTTTCAATAGAGTCTGAATTGACAGCGTTTCTTGGAATCTCACATATTGCCACATCACTTGTACATTGCTTTGTATTGTGCGCGGCTTTAGAACTGTCAGTATTCGACCAGGGCCATTGTAAGTCAAAGCAGATGTCATCGAGGCACCAGTAGTATATTTCAATGCCCCTGATCGCATGCTTTCTGACAGTAATGGTTCTTATGGTAATGTCCTCGCTGAACCACACATGGCCCCCGCGCGCCCGCACTCACAGCTCACACACGGCGTCTAATTTAACACCGGAGAGGACAAGCCAAACCGCTCCGGCGCATATTGGAAATTTAAATTTTGAAATTCTCCGTTGCTGTCACCGACACGGCTTTAACTAAACATTTGGGGTTTGAAGCACCTTGACTCAGAGGACTACTAACATGGCTTCGCGGTAAGAATAATGACGTAGGATTATCCAAATGGAGGTGTATTCAGTATTTCAGTGGTGTGAGGGAATCTGATAGAAGAAAGACTTGGCCATACGGCAATCAAATCGTGGCAAAGTTTTAGGAGTAAATGTGATCCATTACAAGGCCTCATACCGAATTATCCATCTATCTTTTATCCAGGCCTGGGTTGCAGACTTCTTTCTGCCCTGATGTCCATCTGATAGAAATATTCGCTGGTTTTCTTGGCCTTTCCACAAACTGTACATATGAGTGGAGTACCCCGTGTGCTGACATCACCATAGTTTGCTTTATCGGTGAAGAAGCCTATTAAAGGAAGAGGCAACCGTTTTTACATACTAACATATGTTCTTACCTTACCTTAGACTAGTTGATATGTACCTGTCTGGTCTTTGTCAGTGTGCTCTGTCATGCAAACGGAGCACAAACGCAGCCTCTTCCACATACTGTAACGAAATCAGCTCCCGTTAGAAGCTACCAAACTCTTCCACGTGTTCCCTATTTAAATACAGTTACGTGATGTGTTACACTACAAAGTAACTCCTAAAGACTTCTCTCCCGCTCACTTCCGTCAATAGAAGCAGCGTGAGCGGGAGAGAAGCATGGATCTATGAGAGAAGTCTATAGGACTTAGTGCACGGACGTAGTGCTCCTCGTATTATTACGCCTCACAATATAGTACCCCTTTTTATCCGCTGAGAAAATCGACATGTTACATTTCTGTGTTACTATACTTTGTAGTGTAAAACATTTCGTAACTGTATTTAAATAGGGAACATGTGGAAGAGTTTGGTAGCTTCTAACGGGAGCTGATTTGGAACTATACAGTCTGTGGAAGAGGCTGCATTTGTGCTCCGTTTGCATGACAGAGACAAGACCAGACAGGTACATATCAACTAGTCTAAGGTAAGGTAAGAACATATGTCAGTATGTAAAAACAGTGGCCTATTCCTTTCAAGCTAACTCGAACGTTCTTCATGGGCAGGGATCCGGCACCAAAAATATGGTATGTTCACACTCATACAGCAATATACTTTATGCCACTGATGCGAACACAATACAGCAGGATATTCCAAGTATTAACACCTTTTTGATATATCCATACAATTACATACAACAAGCATGCACTCTCAAGTCATTTTGATAGTGCATAAATTTTGATCGAACATGAACTTGGTCATTGGTCATTACCCAAGATTCCTTACCATTGGGGAGGGTGGGGACATAGACTGACCGGTCAATAGAGAGCTTTGCCCTTGACCTCAACAGCCTGATACAATGCAGGGATCAGTCTCGTTAAAAGAATGCGAATAATTTAAAGTCTATTGACCAGATGCATCAACGTCATCCAGTCACGTGATTGTGAATGAGCTTACGGCGGAAGTATTGGAAACTAGCATTGCTGCAAGAGCAAAACGGACACAACTCTTAAAAACGGAGCTTCCTCTCCTAAATCGAGAAGTGGCTGCTTCAAGCACATGTTCGATTACGTTATAGGTGGAAGTAGGACATCAGGTCAGGGCTCACAAAGAGTGGTATTTGGAGAAGTTAAGGATTGCCTAACTGGATGTTGACCTGTACCTTCTCCCCCCAGTCAATTTTATCGATTAAATAAAATGTCTATTTTTGCCCGAATTCACCCTACATGATCTTTATCATTATCGTTAACAATGCATCCCCTCACACTGGAGCAGATTTATATGTACATTTTGCTGGTAGCATTAGCAGTCCACTTTTCTGTGGCTTTTCTGTCTACAGCCAAACATGATACGTACTGACGGAGAGAAAAATAGTGAAACACGTAATTGACTTAAAAGATAAAAATGTCAATGTTGCAGCGCACATACAGGATAGTAGTAAGAGACACGTTTGACGTGTGTCATTGTCCTCCACATTAATGGAAACAAAATAAATACAAACTTGTGATTGCTTTATCTTGTAAAAAGTGTTCACTGCATATTAGGGAGTACTTGGATGGGTCCCAGTCCTTTTGGTTGATTGCCGCTGGCCATCGTCGTCTTCTGTCTTCATGACGAGCAGGTATCAGATAAAAAAGCTTATGTCCTTGCCTGTTAGTATAATCAACCGCACTGCAAAATGTCACAGTTTTGGCTGTAATGCGCTGAAACAGGTTGTTTTGGTCAGGTGTCCGTAGGCTCGCAGTTAGACTTCTGCCGTCTGTCATGGAGAGTGGGCGTGGCCGGGACGTCACATGCAAGGGGTCAATATGGATCATTCAATCATTACTAAACCCTGGTGGAATTTTTGCCCAGTTATATCAGCATCATATTGTTGTTGTCAAAAAGTGTAATATATTGTTAATCATATGTCCTTGGAACAACCCCCAGTCTTGCTTGTTCTTGTTGACAGAAAGGGAAGTATGCGATCATTAATTAAGAGTCTTAAGTGCAGCAGAATATTTTGAATCCATCAGCGGTCCATC